AAAACTGAGGTGATTATCAAACCGCAGCATTGAGCTGCTTTTTAGAAAATCTAGAGTAAAATTAATTTGAAATACTAAGTAATTCAGATTAAGACATTTTAGCAATTAAATAGTTACTGGACAGGTTTCTAAGTGCATTAACCAAAGAATATTGCATACATCCCTACTAATACTCACTCTTCAGAGTGACACTGGAAAACCTGTCAGTTATGACAGCATACTCCCTGTTGAAGTTAAATGAGAAATTCACTTGGAGAAATGATAATTATAGTGATGGAATTTACTTTAATGGAATTTACTTCAGTATATTGTCACCACTTAGTGCAGCTGAAACAAATGGAAGAAAAAGACAAAAATGAATGCATGTAAAAATAAATAGCTGACAAAAATTACTATGCAATAAAAGGCAAGAGGGTTGAGTGACAAGGGATCAGAAGCCTCACGGCAACATGGAGTAGTGCCGGAAGTTGACAAGCATTCTTTTTCAAATTTAACATTACATTCACAATTATTTACAAAGAAGATGCTATAAATAAACACAAATATGCGCACAAATACACAAACATCTTCACTGCAATGCTTGATACTTTAACCACACCCTAACACCCTATTGTTAAAATATATCCTTCCAATAAAACTTTCTTAGGCCCCTCAGCAGTTGAAGAGATTTAGATCGTTCCTGCTAGTTTGACATCAACCAGGCCCAACATCACAAATGGTGGAGATTCAATTTCACATTTATAAGTTTAAGAAACGACTAACAATTCCTCAACACTAAGAATATTTCAAGAGCTTCTCCTTCTCCTTCTGCTAGGAGCTCTCTCTAGCGTATATGTCTGTACATTTGGTACGTCAACTACATGCCCTCTCGATCGAGTTTGTACACTATTAGGTGACAATTCGGACATACACATATTCCCATGTTTCATGCAGCTGGTCTATCCTCCTAGCCCGCACCAGCTCAGGAGTAAAACCTTCGAATAGTGATTGGCTATCTTCAAATTGCACATCATTTGGACCTGAACCAACAGGAACAAAATGAAAAGGCTCGACATGATCAGCTTTGGCCAGAGGCGTGCATGGAGCTTTAATTTGATCATCAGCATTCTCACCAACATTATCCACCGATTGACCAGATTCCAGCCGGCAAAGAACACAACTCCCACCCTCGTCATTGCTACAATCCAACACAGATCTATACAATTCTGGCACGGTTATCTCCCTTGACAGCTGGCTTGTTCCCTCAGACACAGCATCTGCCCCTTCACCTACCAACGTCATCCCTGATAATTGGTCATATGCACTGCGTGTTTCTAGTGTTGCTTCACAATGACACCCTCTACACAAACCACAACTCATTGGCTGCACTGACAAATGAACCGATCCTGCTGATAAATGATATGGATTCAATGTGCAACAATCATCAGTATCCTTAACAGAACTGATACTCACCCCAGACAACAAATATCTAAACCAAGAAAATGAAGATGATGCAACAGCAGATAGCCAAGACAAACAGAAATCAGCAGGCAAATTCATGGGTGAATCTTGGTGATCTTGGTACTTGTTTGGGACATAGCAGTCCCAGGCCACAATGGATCGCCGCCTCTGATTATCGTTCATCCGCCCTCATTTGGGCCACCTGATGCACGATGCTGTTGCTTACTTCTCTCCGCTGGTAGTGTTGAGGGGGAGGACGATCTGGGATTGTGCCCAGGAAAACGTCCAGTTGTCTCTTGAAGATCTCTAGGGTGAACTCCCCCTCTCTTAGATCTTTTGTTAGGACGTTGAACAGCCTTGGCCCTGCCATGGAAAGTGATCCTTCCTGCAGGGATTGAAATCTGACTGCGGATCTGTTACGTAATGGGAGGGTCTTGCACAGTCTCCCCCTTCTCTCGTTGTGAGATGTCTCAATACTGAAGGTCTCGCTCTTGAAGTTTGGCACCATCCCAGTTATCATTTTCCATGTGTACAGAATGACATACCTCTCCCGTCTCCTCTGCAGTGAGTACAGACCCAGGCGCATCAACCTCTCCCAGTAGTTCAACTCTTCCATCCCTCTGATCCTGGAAGTGAAGGTTCGCTGGACACCTTCCAGTTGCCGCACTGCCCCGAGTGTGAAAGAGGTCCAGAGCTGGCAGCAGTATTCGAGAATTGGTATAACAATGGCTCTAAAGAGCGTGGTCATCGGTTCCGCTTCTCTTGTTCTGAACGTCCGCCAGATCCACACCATCTGTCGACTACCTCTTGCGGTTATTGCTGTTACGTGATCACCAAAATTTACCTGAGTATTCATCAACACTCCTAGATTACGAACAAATTGTTTCTCTTCGATTTCCGAGTTGTCAAGTGCTAGGTAGCGGTGCTCCATACCAGCTCTTCTGCTACCTCTGTATCTCAGAAACTCAAACTTGGTCCTGTTGAACTGCATATTGTCCACTTGGGCCCAGTCATATATTGCAGAGAGGTCTTCTTGCAACCTCTCATTTGTCATCAAAATATCGGATTAAAAGTCTAGAATTCTTTAAAAAGAGACAAAATATTTAAATAACTGAACACAGAAGCATGGCGTCATGTGACTCATACCGTAAACAAGGGATGTAAGCGAGCTTGTGATTGGCTGACATGAAAAGTGGTTTGAAGGTACGGTCTTAGCTAAGTTGGTCGTACAAAAGCTTTGAAGGTGTCAAAAAACGCTGATTGTAAGCTACACGTATCTTCTTGAGCTTGAGTTCCAGAAGTTACGTCTACTCGGCAATGTTTGAAAGTACCTGCCCTGGTAACATATTCCTAATAATACTAAAGCTAGTAATAGATTATCTCTGCCTTTAGTAATATTTTGTGCTACGCCTCCAGGAAATCTTCACAATTGCACAGTTTCCTGAATTGTTATCAAACACTTGGGCTTGTTTAATGTTATTTAGGAAGGATACACATGGATATTTCGAGTTCTTTTTGAAGATCAAACTATTATATTTTTTCCAACTTAAATTTTGTTGTATTTTAAAATGTTGTTGATATTTCTTTCCAAACTTTTTGTTGAAGGAGATTGCTTAAGGCAAGATCAATGAATCTGATTCTGTGATTGAGCTGGAGGCAAATCAAAGTCTGTCCAGTCAGCCGATGTCACCAGCTACAGCTAGTATGGCCTCCTCCAAACCATCATAGAACACAATTTTTGAAAAAAATGTGTTTTTCCATTTTTATTTGCCTGTCAAGATTAAGTACCACATTAAATCACAACATGTATTCATAGCAAAAATCATTTCAATTGCCGAGCTAAGATCAGAATAGTAAAAGAATACGTTTCAAGTTATTATATAAATGCAGAGGTGGGCAGTAGCGCACTACATGTAGCGGCCACTACAAATTCAGTAGCGGTAGCGGCGCTACATTTAAGCAATTGTAGCAGTAGCGGTAGCGTCCGTTACATATTTAAGTAGCGATATGAGGTTTTGCCGCTACAGCGCTACCGCTACATTTATAGATAAAGCCTTTAGATTTTACTTAATAGTATTAAACATTATTTAAAAACCAGCATGATACATACATAATATAAATTACAGAATAAAACTGTACGAAAGATTTCGGTGTAATGTTGTCAACCTCATCTTGTTACTAGTGTCAACATGTTAGTTTTTACCAGAGGTGGACAGTAGCGCGATACGGATTCCGTTACGGGTTCTACTGTTGGGCGGACGTGTGTCTATAGCTGTTCGGTTCTGGTATTCGGTGCTATTTGCTCGTTTTCCCCAACAATTTGAGGAGTCTGGACATTCGATAATTGCTTCACTGTGGGCCTTATTTGTAGAAAAGTTACCTAATCATTTGTTCTGTAGTTTTTTCCTTATTTATTTCTAAGTTTCAGTTTTTTTTTTGCTTTTTTTTTCTTTTCCGTCCCTGAGCATATGCTAAGATGGCAGACGCAACGGGTCTGGCTTCTCCCATCGTAGCGGCTGCTAACCTTGGGGTAGAACAGGGTAAGGTCTGTGGTGAGACTGGTGAGAGTGCTCCTAATTTTGAATATTTGCATGAAGATATGCTAATGAATGTGATTGAAGATGCTAGTGTTACCTCAGTTGTTCCTACGGGCAAGAAGCGCGAACGTAATCCTGGCACACTTGTAAGTAGTGATGAGGACTCTGAAGTCCAACAGAATCCAAAAAGAGTTGCAAAATGTGCCTTGGGCTCTCGCGTGCTGGAGAGTTCTCTCAGATTGAATAGCAATGGAATTGAAGAACCACATCTTGAGAGGCCCAATGATGAAATGCTAGTAAACAAGAAGCATCTTCGAGTAACCACTAATGCAACTCTCCTTAGTCAAGGCAAGGGACTCACTGTCTTGATCAAACCAGTGGGCCAAAATGCTAGCTCATTTCTCCAAAATCCCGTGAAGTTGGCTCGTGGCCTCAGGGACTCTGCCTATGGCAGGTATCCAGATATGAAGGTGAGGACAAACCCAAGAAGGAACTTGGTGGCAGTGGAGTTTGCATCAGTCTCTAACTTGGATCTGGGCACTCTTCTCAAAGTCACAAAAATAGGGACATGGCAAGTTGCCTTCTCTCAACCTGGTACTGACACTTGCATAAGTGGAGTGATTGGGCCAATCCACCCATCAGTCTCGGTCTCAGAACTTCTGGAGTCAGCCAGGGCAGGCTTCGTGAAGATCAGAGAGATGGTGCGTCTCCCTTGCCATCGCCTGGGTATACGTGCAGAGTCATCTGCAGTGAAGGTGATCTTTGAGGGAAGGGAGCTCCCTGAAGCTGTCAACATAGACTACTTGAGATATCCAGTGAGACCTTTTGTTATGGCCCCACTTAGGTGCTACAAGTGCCAGCAGATGAACCACATTGCAAGTGGGTGCACTGGAATTATCAAGTACCTCCAAGACACCAACATGCTTGACAACATTTAGTAATCCACGAAGATGCTGAATGGGGGCGCCAATACTTCAGTCGGTGACGCGCCTCATCTTAACCAAGTAACCAAGTAAGTACTGTTTAAACCCGTCGAGACGTTTGGTGAGTGAAGAATCAAGTCTTCAGAAAGTGACAAAAGAAAAAAATTAGTTTGAAGCGGTTCTGTGTAAGTGTGTGTTGAGCTGTTTCTGTGTATTTTATTTCCGGACTTTGCTCGTGAGGTATTTCACGTCAGTGATGTCACCTCCAGGCTCTAGTCATACTCATATTGACAGAGCAGAGAGGTTTTTTTAGACGCTTCCTCAAGTTAAATTTTGAGCCCTTTAACTCCAGCTATAGCCTATAAGTACACCAGTAGAGATTTATGCCAGCAGGCCCAGCATATATTTCATCCTCCTTTCTGTGCATAAGCCTGCTAAAGGGCAGAGTAGGTATACTAAGCTCTAAGGCATTATATGTTAAGAGCCAAAGGTACAATTACAAATCCCCTTCAAGGCTTCATGATTCCCAATTCCCATGGCATAGTGGCAAACCAGAGCTTTTTTTAGAATCAGTTCATTTTTAATTTCCTCATTTACTCAAGATTTGAACCAATTTCTTAAGTATGATAATGCTGGTATGAGTGGACAGAGTGGTATCCATGATACTTTACTGGTCTATTAGTACTTATAGGACTCAAAAGTGAAGAGAGTCTAAAAAACTCTCTGCTTTGTCACTATGTCCCATGGTCAGGAAGATGTGCCAGGTGCGCGAGAATTTATTTTGTCATTTTAACGACCTGCGCGGTGCGCCGTACTATGCTGGTAAAAAAATGCGCCGTGCGCCATACTTTAGAAAGCTAAAATAGTTTAAATATGGACGCGCGGCAACGCGGCTCTAATTAAATAAAGATCATTACTTATATTTTGTTGGTCATCAAAGATCAAAGTTTATCAACTACGCGAGTCGAACTGACAATAATAAAATGTAAGACATGTCCGGGTTACTTCTGACTCTTCCGCTTGTCGGATACGGAACGTACGGTACCTAATCGTAAACTGAGGCTACTATACATACGAAATGTAAACAGACGGTGTTCAGTGTTGCCATATGACTTTGGAGAAAATTTCTTCTACAATAAAGTTCTAGATTTCTCATTCACCAAATTTCTGTATCAAGAAAAATCATATATTATTGAAAGATAATTGAAGGCATAGTGGCATACTGTACTGAGTATTGCGTCTGTTCCTCCACAAACTGCTCGTTCCCGGCAGCGCGACGTAGAATTGATGGCCGGTATTGCGCGAATACGTGTGCGAAGAGAATCAATTTTCATTACATTGCATCAACTGTGCACAGCAATGGCTTAAAAAAAGTGAAAATGCGCGGGAAAATTCACCGAAAACATACATCATCCTGAGTGTGGCATGATTCATCATACTGATCATAGTGGGCGGGCCTTTAGTGGCAAACCAGTGATTTTTTAGAAGCAGTTCATTTTTAATTTCCTCATTTACTCTAGGGCAGCAATCTTCCTGTAATGAGTGTAATCCAAAATCCAACCTGTTATCAAGCATTATTCCTGCAATCCAAATTGAGTCCTATAAGTAAACAAGCAAAGTATCATGGATACCAGCATTATCATACATAAGAAATTGGTTTAAATCTTGAGTAAATGAGGAAATTAAAAGTGAACTGATTCTAAAAAATCTCTGGTTTGTCACTATGCTCTAGATTTTAACAGCTTTCTTATGCATGATAATTCTGGTATCCAGCCTAGTGAACCTACTTAACTTAGGCTACTTTACTCATTTGTTGCATTGGCCAGACCCATTACCCAGGAATCAGGATGGTGTTGCTATCTGCAGATTAATCCAGCATTCCAATTTATAGCTTACACAAGGACAAGGCTCTGAGCACTTGCATTGGCGCAGGTCGCAGGATTGGAATTTTCCTACTTGTTTCTGAAATTTTGTGGCTCCTGGGCTCCAATGTGACAAATTTTTAATTAAATTGAAATAAAATTTGATTGACACTTCCTTTCCTTGTTCATTAAAATTATAGAGATATGGTCATGTCATATTTTGTGGCAATTTGTGGCAAGATCCAGTGGGGTAAATGCACCATATTCCGACATTGTGGGTAATTCCAACACTTTTCAACTTTTTCCTTTATATTAAGCTTTGTCTTAGTTCCACGCTTGCATAGGCCTAGATGGTTGAAATAGTGACGTCATACTATTGCTTGCCAGATTTATGCAAAACACTATGTTTGGCAGGAAAATGTTGAGATCCTCAGAGCGAAAGTCCACGACTCCACGTCACCCAGTAAGAACATCGAAAAATGTGTCAAAGTTGATAAAAAAATGATTCAAAGTTGACTTTGCTCTACCAAATAGGGATAAACTTTGTGTAGAAAGAATATTATGGTTTGAGACTTTCAGATAAGTCTGTGAATATATTAGAATCCTTTAAGTATTCTTGTATATGCTGATTTTTAGTGGTAAATAAATTAATAGATGATTAAGTTGAGAGACAGTTGAAAACTAATTCCAATACAGCTCGAAATTGGACACACACAGCTCGTTGCGAGCTGTGTCGTATTCCAATACAGCTCACACAGGGCGTCAGAATTACGAATTACGGTTTTGAAGCACCATACATCATAATTTGTCTCACAATATGCCAAATTTAGTCACACAGACACACACAGCGTTGGAATTCAGCGATTTGTGGATTTTCAATTCTAAAGGCTTCTAAATAAATATGGCAACAGTTTGTGACGCTTCATCATTGCTGGCGCAATGATGAAACGTCACAAACCTTAAAACGTCCTTAAAGTGTTGGAATATGGTGTGTTTACCCTATTTTGTTTCCTGGATTGTGCTGCATGGCAGAATTCATTTATATTAGAATTGATATGTTAGGCATTCTGTGGAATTGGTGCCAACTTGTTTACCCAAAAAGCATGGATTGAGTTTGAACAGGCATATTGATGCATCTAATATTCTACTTTTTCCTATTAGGTGCTGCAATTGATGATAGAATTATAGTAGAATTGTGATAGAATTTTGGCAATATCATAACACTGGCAGATATGTAAATATCATGCAGCGAAATAAATGCCATTTTCCTTTGCAGCCTTGGTTGCATTCCTATCATTTATATTGTCTTTAGTATAGAACTATAGGTACCTGTACCTATTTATAATTTTTTTAAATGCAAAGCCTTAATTCTTTTTTTACAATGCAATGTCAACTCGGTAATAAAAGATGTTCTTGTTTGCCAACTAGGGTTTAGGCAGATATATATGCTTCCAAAATCAGATGTTTTCCAATGCTCCACTTTGAATTATTGCTGGAAAATATCTACTTTTCCTATAATGACTGGGTTTTTTAGCCTGTTTTGCTGATTTTAAGCAGTGCAAATTTCTAAGATATAAATTTATATACATGCTGTATAATGATGAAATAGCTTGTGATAGATATTTGTTTTGTCATATTCTCCATAAAAATGTTGAAATTTTCTGTCCTGTGAGTCTTCAGGAGTCAATTTTGCCTAAGAGACCTGTCTGCCTGGTCATTGACCAGACTGCAATCTTTTCTAATCTTATGAAAAGAATTATCCTGATGATGTTCCCATGCATAGCTGCTAAGTTGTACAAAGCATCAGTTCACAAGCAAGTTTCCTACAGTTGAAAATAATGCAGTATTTTTTCAACAATCCATGTTTGCAATCAATTTGAATCTCAATCTTGTTCCAGACTCGAGGATCACAATGGATAACAAGGAAGCAGTGGCAAACGGCAAGCGGGAAAGAAAACCCGTGGTTAGCTATGTTTGCGAGTCCACACTGTCCTCTAAGCCCAAAACTGTCGTAACAGATGGAGGGTCAGGTGTTGCATTTGGTGACAGCCCTCATATCAGCCTGCAAATTAATGTGAGTTATGCACTTGAATTGTAATTACAATTCAACACAACACCTGAAATGATATGCAATGGGTGCTAGGATGATGCACTGGCTACAATCATTTCCATCTACATATTCATTATTGATAATTTTTAATTTTAATTTTTAATCTTACATACTGTTATTTGGATTTTTATATTCATTCATTTGAAGTTGGCTTCTTTTCCAAGCTATAATAAATATTCCAATCCATCTTATGAAATGTTAAGGAATATTGAATGTTATACACTTTCAAGACTTGTCTTTTTCTATGTAGGTGAAGTGATAATCAAGCCATATTAAGTTATTCCATTTTTACTTCTTGATAATAATTTTTTTATTTTCAGAATACTAAAGCAGCTGAACTCAAAAGTTTACATGCACTTGTGTACTCATTTCCCGGAAAAGCAATTAATGTGAAGAAAAATTTGCGCCTCTTCAAAGGCTTTGATTTTACTGAAGAAGATGATCAATTCAAAACACTTGTGACCAAAATTGACCGGTGAGATTTGCATTTATATTACTTATCTATTTTCTTACATTTGCTTACAATCCTGAGAAATTCTGTAATGCCAAGATACTTCCCATTTTTCTCTCAATAGTCCTCTCTGAATTCAAGCTGATTACTTTTCTAGATTATTGATCTCTCAAAAAGTTCTTGTGTTGAGCTGGAGAAGAGATTTGATTTATTTCTTTCTTGTCCACAAAATAAAAAACCCTAGCATCCTTTTATGAAGATTTGATGATGTTTTTTGTTGCCCTGGTATTTCAATTACATCCTGTTGCGGACATTGTTTTGAAAATGTATTCAAATTACAGGCTTAAAGTAAGACCAAGCTTGGCATTCATCTTTGATATCCTTGGGCTGCCTCTACTTTCAAGAAAGGAGGATTCAGTGCATCGACTCGCAACTTTTCTTCTAAAGCCCACCCTTGTAGAACTTGGAAAAAGCAAAAAGGTTTGTGAATATGTCTGCAGTATGATATAATTTAGATGTCTGTGATTCTTTTAGCCAAGCTTACATTGTCTTAGTTTGCTGAAATTATATATGTTTTCCTCCTTCCAAGTTCAACATTTTAGTAAGCAGCCAGAGCATTCTACTTGTTTATGTTTGGAAGATATTTTTTGTGTTTACTTACAATTGTTTAATTATGTTCTAAAAGAAATGCTTCCTAGCTCGTCTTTCAAAACATTTGAATAAGTGGATGCACCATTTAGAACATTTTATCCTATATGGGACAGCCACTACTGCATATGCTCAAAAAGTTTTAGGTTTGAGCTTCTAGTTACTCTTACCAGTAAGCTAAATAAAAAAATTCACATTTCATATTCTTTATAAAAATCTACATCATGCAAATAAGATTAACAAAGGAATTGATATTGGTGTTCTCAACTTTGTGACATTTATTTGCCTTCCAATGAATGATGTGGCAAAAATGATTAGAACCGCACTAATTGAAATGAAGAAAATTAAAATGAACTTAATATTGAATGGCTATAGAAAAAAATGAAGTACCTGTTATTATGTATTTAATGAGTGGCTTTTTAAAACTAAAATTGAAGTGGGTTTTTAAAGGGCAGGCAGCTATAGAAATTTCCTCCATGAAAAATTCTTCATAGCTCAAATCTTATGAAAAAATGGTACTGTTTCTTTCTGCTTCATAATAATTGCACTCATTTTCTTCAGCGTCAAAGAAAACCAAAGAAGAAAGTTGAGAAGAAAGTCAAAAAGACTCCTTTAAAGAGGACTAAGAAGGCAGAAAAGATTGAAGGTTCAGACGATGAAGGCCAAGAGGTGGAAGTAGATGATGCTAAACGGACTCCTTTAAAAAGGACTAAGAAGGCAAAGAAGCTTGAAAGTTCAGATGATGAAGGCCAAAAGGAGGAAGTAGAGGCAGTCAAAAGGACTACGAAGGCAGAGAAGATTGAAAGTTCAGATGATGAAGGCCAAGAAGAGGAATTAGAGGAAGAAAATAGTGAAGAAAATGAAATTGAATCTGATAGCCAAGAAGAAGAAGCGAGTGAAGATGGTAACGCTAAATATGAGGAGGAGGAAGAAATGGACAGTAATGATGAAGAAAAGGAAAATAAAAATGACTTTGTAAAAGCTAATAAAGGAAAAAATGTTAATGTGGAAACTAATAACAAAAGTGATAATGAGCTTGAAGTGAATCCCAAGAAAGCAGCCAAGAAACCTAATGCCACCAAGAAATCTAACGCCACCAAAAAACCTATCGCCCCTAAGAAACCTATCGCCCCCAAGAAACCTATCGCCCCCAAAAAGCCTAAGGCCATCGAGAAGAAGAGATTGCGTGAAGGGGATTCAGATGAAGTGAAACCTGCAGAAGAACCTCATCCAAAGAAGAAACCTGTGCCTACGGTGAATATTCATCCTTAGCTCCATACTAATTTGGCAATGATAGAATTTCCCTTGCTCAATCAGTCTCTCATCAATATTTAAGATGTTTAGTGTTTCATGCAGATATTACATGTTTACTCAGTCTCATTGAACATTAAGATCAATAACCTCTCAATAAACCTCTTAAAACATGCCATACAAATTATTTTCATGTCAATGAAAAAAAATGAAAAAGTTTCGTGCTGATTTGAATTACAATCGTTAAAATAGTTTCTCTTTTCAAGTTAGGATGTTAGTTTGTTATTCATTTTTAAAATGAGCCACGTTGCTCCCATTCATTTCATCCATGTTCCCCTCGCAGAATGCTGATCTCAAGAAGTTCATCACAGCTTACATAAAAACAGCAAACCTTGAGGAGGTTACTATGAAGAAAGTCTACCAGGAAGTTACTGACGAGTACAGTGGACTGGACTTGACAAGCAAAAAGGAGTTCATCAAGAAGACCGTGAAGGAGGTACGTAAGTCAGCGTAACGAGACTTGAAGTTTTTGTTCACCGTTTCTTCATCTGAATCTCATTTTATTGAATTCTAAAGACCGTCGACTGCCTTATTATCTCAGTGAATAAAGCTCGTCACATGTTTGAAATTGAAAATGGAACTGATGAGATTCATGCCCTTGTTTTGGGCATGTTTATTCATGCACAAATTTTTGAGAACAAATACAGCTATGATGGTAACTATCCATGAATTTCGTACTTTCAAAAGGCTTGCCATCAGCTGGTGTGAGATTGGCCCTTGAGTGACACCATTAGCCTAATGGTGGAAAAAGTTTTGTTGTGCTCTAGTGTGGTCATGTTATGAGTTGTCGACCTAGTTCATGCATCACTGGATGGGTAGCACTTTTGGCTTGATCCAATCGTCACATGTTTACACTAGATCACAACAAAACTTTTTATAACGTTGGGCCAATGTTGAATGTTACTCTCACGGGCCGATCTTACTCCAGCTGCTAGTAGTGGTGCACGCTAGAAATCTACATATTACTCACAGTTTATTTCAATATTTGTTTTCAATAAAAATTTTGTGTTGCAGATCCTGGCTTAATGGACTGTCTTGAGCCTCGAGATGTGACTTGCTGGTAGGCTTAAGTCACTGAAGGTGAAACTTCATTGCGACCTCCTTAGTACTGACGGGGAAGTGCATCTCAATGAAAATTAAGTGCATCCTAAATTACCAGTAACTGAAAGTCACGAGTTGAATCTTCTGAAGTTTACAAGTAATTAAGGTTGAATATAACCTGAATAATTTGTAGCTGCTTTCTAAATTCCTATGAAATATTTCGCGCGATATGTTTTAGAAGTCGTGTAACGATCGATTTTTTACTCAATTTTATCTACAGTTGATAGTGAAAAAGTTTTATTTTTGCTCGAAATGTCCTCTAAGAAATTTTTAATTTTACCGCGACAATGTTCCCATTTACATCAGCACCTTCAAAGAATTAAGGCAGAAATAGCACGTAATATACAACATTATAAACGTTGCAGCTGCAAAGCGATGATTTGGATAGATCAATCACATCCCGGTACGTTGCTGTTGTGTGATTTATTGAAGATGTTTCGGTGAGAGGATTCTAGCTAACCCAGACGCCTTGTGTTCTATCTTACTGTATCATTCAAGTAATGTTTTCACGTATGCATGAACTTGTCATACTCCTCACTCAACACCTGCTGAGAAAAAAGTAATCTCCTTAATAAAAATGTGATTCTGACGGTTCAAACTGTGAAGTGCATTCTTTTAATTAAGTGATTTTGTAGGGGGAGAATCGAAATTTTGCTGTTATAGGTTGTGATTGGCAACTTACTTAATTTTCTTTTCTAATATTTGCCAAAAATTAGAATTATTTAGTTACAACAGACTGGAATGAAACCATGTTTTATTGCGCTGCTCCTGTACCTGATGCGTTTTTCCTGGTTTTTGCTCTCAATAAATTTGTAGCTGTCTTAGTATTGCGGTAATTGATTTTTGGAGATGTGCCTGTAGTTTTAGTAATTTCTTCAAGGTGGATAGTCAGGCATTAGTTCTTTTACATCTATTTTTACGCTGCTCGAATGGAAGTTTTGGAAAAACGGACGATTTCATTTACTTGAATTTCAATTCTTCTACTGCTGGCAATAAATCTCGTTTTAGTTGCAAATAATTGAACTACTTTCTGCTTTCTGGATTAATGTTCAAAAATTTCTAGCCATCTTTTTTTTACCTTTCATCAATATCGTAAACCTTGCTTAGGTTAAATAAATTCAAACGGTTGATTATGTGGTTTCATTATTATCATTTTATTAGTGATCGGCAATTGCTTTTAGTCAGGTTGCGAACGTAGCGTCTTAGGCATTATTACTGAAGACTGGCACGTTTCACATTAAACTAGTAAATTCAAGTTTACATCATGCGTTGACAAACTTTCTAGTACAGGAAATAGAAAATTCAAATCTATCAGTTAACATCACTGCACTCAAACTTTTCGATTACCAGAATCATTGATCCTTGCAGTTCCGTTGTGAGTGCAAGTGTCGGAAACAACCATTCCTAACGCGCACATTTGCTCCACGTCCCCCAAGCTCCTCTCAGTCGCGCTGTTTTCATAGCTAGTCATACTCTCTGTGCTAAGGTTTATGCCTCACAGCCGGTCCGACCGTGGAATTATTAACGACCGGGTACGCAGCCGCGCACCACTAAATTTGTGCACCAATCAGCCTTGAAAGGAACGCCTAGCATATTTCCGGATCAGGATGACCACCAATCAGCCGCGGATTAAGCCATCCGTCGGTAACAAGCCCGTGGGCCGTGACATCATCTTACTTTAAATATTAAATAACCTCTTGTCGACTCTGAACGAATGGACCCGCCTGCTGGACGAAAGGGAGCCAGTAGACGCAGTGTACCTCGATTTTGCCAAGGCATTTGACAGTGTCCCACATGAGCGGTTGTTGCGTAAATTGAAGTCTTTGGGAATTGAGAGTAATGT